ACTGCTGAAGAAGCTCCTCTCACCTCTGAAAGCCAGGGCTACAGAGATCAGGCCTGGAGAGAGAGATCTTAACTGGAAGGCTGGGCCAGTAGGTAAGAAGAGCCTCTTCCACAGGAACCACACAGAGTCACATGCAGTTTCTTACAAGTGGCTGGGCTAACCAGATGCCTCCAGAAAATGCAGCAAACTACACAGGTGGAAAATAGCCTTTCCCATTGTTTATCCTCCAGTATGAAGAAGAGAAGAGACTGGATTTATACCCCGCCCTTCACTCGGAGTCTCAGAGCACCTTACAAACTCCTTTTCCCTTCCCCTCCCCACAACAGACACCCTGTGAGGTAGGCGGGGCTGAGAGAGCTCTTTCCATAACTGTCCTTGAGAGAACAGCTCTGTCAGAACTATGGCTTGCTCAAGGTCATCCAGCAGCTGCAAGTGGAGGAGTGGGGAATCAAACCCAGTTCTCCCAGATTAGAGTCCGCACACTTTACTACACCAAACTGACTCTCCAGGACGAAGAAGAACAAGGTGCAAGGCAGAGCAGTTTATTTGACCTTTTAGATCCCCAACACGTTTTGTGATAAACTTCACCAGGGGAGCTAATCAAGCAGAAACTTCTCTGGCTCTCGCCTTGGACAAATGAATCATTGTTCTGATCTCTTCTCCTATCAGCACAGTCTTATTTTCTTCCCTTATCCCCCATTATCTCATACTCGGGGTGCACTGCCTCTGAACATGGAGGTTCCACTTTCCTTTTTCTTGGTGAACAGCTGTTGATAGCTTTCTCCTCTACTATAAATTTGTTTAACCCTTCAGAGTTAGTACTCATCTCTTGCCTCGTGACAGATTCTTTACTGATGTGTTCCATGAAGAAGTACTATTGTGTCTGTCCAAAATTTACTGCCAATCAGGTGACTACAAAAGCCAGAGGGAGAAAAAAAATCTCGCTCTTGCTTTCCACTCTTTCAGTACTCTTTTGCTTATGCAAGTAGTGATGAAGGGCCAACCAATGACACTCCACTTGCAGTCTGGGAGAAAGCAGACACACTTCTGCTATACCTTAAATGGGAATTCTGGCAGGTGGAGCTTACCATGTCTTAGCACTACAAGGTGAGAAAAGCAGCATCCGCAAAAATTCCCTCTGTGACACCAGCACTAGACAGTTGCAGCCACATGTGCCAAATATCTGTTACATATTTTACAAGTTCATGGCTAGAATACAAGCATGTGTTTGAATTGCATCGGAATATAAGAGGAGCTCTTGTGGGATCAGAGCATAAGAACATAAGAGAAGCCACTGATGGATCAGGCCAAATGGCCCATCTAGTCCAACATTCTGTCACACAGTGGCCAAAAATACCAGGTGCCATTGGGAGGTCCAGCAGTGGGGCCAGGACACTAGAAGCCCTCCCACTGTTGCCCCCCCCCCCCAAGCACCAAGAATACAGAGCGTCACTTGCTCCGGACTGAGAGTTCCTATCCATACCTTGTGGCTAATAGGTCCACTTTAAGGTCCATCTTGTCCTGTATCCTGTTTCCCACAGTGGCCATCCAGGCAACCAAAACCCAAGGGCATAAAGTCAACAGCTACAGTTTATAGGGTGTGTACGACCCAGGATGCTCCAACTTGAATTGCCCAGCTTGTTAGATCTCAGAAGCTAAGCAGGGTTGGATGGGAGACCTCCAAGGAAGTCCAGGGTGGCTATGAAGGGACACCTCAGTTTGTCTCTTGCCTTGAAACCCCTACAGGGTCACCATCAATGTTCCCTCTAAGCTGTGGAGTCTTGTGAGCAAAAATTCTTCTTTGTGAGCTACTGTCCTTAAAGTTGTGAGCGAGCGGTTTGGTAACTGCATAGATTAGTTTGCTCTGGAACCATCCTCCCTGAGCGAAGACAAAAATGTGTGAGCTGGAGGCTAAAAAGCTGTGAGCTGGCTCACACTAACTCAGCTTTAGAGGGAACACTGGTCACCATAGGTTGACTGTGACTAGATGGCTGTTTCCAGGAAAACTACTGCCAGCACTGTGGGCATATCTGATTTCAGGCCCATGCTTCTTCTAATTAAAAAACATACACAGGAGATCCTGGAGATCTCTCTCACAAAAGTCGATACTTTTGCCTTTCCTTGATACCTCCCCCTGTGTTCTTTCAGCAGCTGAAGATTCCTTATGCAAGAGGAAAGCGCCACTGTTAGCAGAAAAACAAATGTAGAGTCCGGTGGCACTCGACTCTACATTTGTTCCGCTGCTTCAGACCAACACAGCTGACTACCTGGATCTGTTAGCAGAAGAGATCTGGATCCAGCCTCTTTAATCACAGATCTTCTGTGTCACATTTTGTTTGACCTTACAAGCGACCCTTTGGGGATGCAAGAAAAACAGATGTTAGCAGAAAAACAAATGTAGAGTCCGGTGGCACTCGACTCTACATTTGTTCTGCTGCTTCAGACCAACACAGCTGACTACCTGGATCTGTTAGCAGAAGAGATCTGGATCCAGCCTCTTTAATCACAGATCTTCTGTGTCACATTTTGTTTGACCTTACAAGCGACCCTTTGGGGATGCAAGAGTGGATTTAGCTTCTAAATGTAATTTTAAACAAAAATTGAGCTTGAGCTATCTGAGGTTGGAGAAATGCTGCTCTAAACAATACAGCCACTGATCCCTGCGAGGTTATGGCCGGGGGAGAGGGTCACAGGACCGGCCTGCTTTGCTTTTTCCTGTTGCAAGAGAAAGGGCTTTAACCCCCCAGCTCTTCCTGCATCAGCAAAACCAGGAGATGGGAGGTGTGGCCCAGGGCAGCCAGCGGGTGCGAGATGTTTCCATGCCATTGTATGCCTCCTCATCTGTCAGACAATGCACCAGAGGTTGCACCTCTATATAAATCCCAACTTTTTAGCACTGCGTGGGTTTTTTTTGCTTCAATGGGAGAAAGAAAAGCACAAACAGGAGAGAGAGGGGGGGAAGAGTGAGCAGCAACAAGAATTTTTGGACTGGTGGTTGGATTTCCGTCTCTCTTCTTTCCTGGGTGATGGACCATCCAGAGACTGAGCACTGAAGGTAAGCTGAACTGTGGCTGCGTTTGAACCAGGGACCACGAGCCCCAGGAGATGTTTCCAGTGCTGAAAGGCAGATATTTGTTATCCTCGTTATGTGCTGAAAATGGATCTGAGTGAGAGACGGAGTCTTCAGATGTCCACTATGCCACATATCTGGATATTAATTCTGCTTTTTAAATTTTATCCTATCTTCCCCCCCCCCCAAGGAGTTCAGGTTGGTATGCATTCTGCCCTTCCCATTTTTGATTCAGAGCAACTCTGTAGGTAGGATAGGCAGGCTGGCCCAAAGCCTCGGGGTGCCAGCCTCCAGGTGGGACCTGGGGATCCCCTGGAATTACAGCTCATCTCCAGAATGCAGAGGTCAGTTCCCCTGGAGAAAATGGATGCTTTGGAGGGCGGCCTCTATGGCATTGCACCCCTCTGAGCTCCCTGTCCTCCCTGGCTCTATTCCCAAATCTCCAGGGATTTCCCAATCTGGATCTGGTAACCCTACCCCCACCATCACCTGCCGCTGGTACCCAGCTGGCAACCCTACCAGGCCTCACAGTGCACAATGGGGATTTGGAAGTGTGAGGGCAGTGCTTGGGGAAGCCTGGGGGAGGGGAGGCTGAATATGATGGGGGGGGGCTGCAGGGTTATACACCAACATCATTGCCGCATCTCAGAACTAGCAAATGCAGGAAATGCCTGTGATTTTCTACCTGTTGCAGAATTCTCTTTCTACCCCCTGCTGAATGTGCCCTGCACCAGCAAAACCATGAGATGGGAGGTACAGCTATGTTTGCCAGGCAGTTCAGTGCCTGGCAATCAGTAGGAGGGTTGTGAGCTGGGAAATGAAGGGGGTCACAACATCCTGTACATCGTTCCGTCACTTCCAGGGAAAATATGGGCCCTTTCTGCACTGACAGCTTGCTCTGGAGGATCCGAGGAGTCAAGCCTTAAGGGTATACAGAATACAAAAATAAATAAACCGGAGGGGGGGGAAACAGTGCAGGGGAAATGCGTGTGACTGTGGAGTCAAGCCTTGCACTGTTTCCCCCCCTCCGGTTTATTTATTTGTGTATTCTGTATACATTCTGAATCTACAAGCAAAGCCCACATTTTTTGAGCTACTAGCTGCCAACCCCTCCCTCCCTCCGTGATTCTGCACAAAGAAAGGGAAGGGAGGGGAAAATCCAGGCCCACACATGCAAGACTGACACATTTGGGAGCAGGGAATCCCCTAGCCCTTTATATTTACTGATTCCTTCTTATGCTCTCTCTGGCTTTTTAAAAGTTTGCCTGAGCAGGAGGACATGTCCTCTTTTGTCTTTGGAAAAGAAAGGAAAGAAAACGGAACAAGGAGGGAGCATCAACCTAGAGAGAGAGGGGCGGAAATGGGGGAGGGCAGTGAGCAGCGCTTAAATACCTGCATTAACAATGCTACTTTAGAAAGGATTAGCGATTTGAAAGCAGATGAGAACAAAGAATCGCAGCAATAGGAGTTTTGGTATCTGCAGGGCAACAGTGCGCTGGAAGCGGTCTGAATGCAGATTCCTGTAAAACGAATGCAGAAACAAGAGAAAGCCCCAACACAAACTGGAAGTGAAAGCAGGAGGGAATGCAGAATGGAAGAATAAGATGTGCTCAGAAACCAAGGCAAAATACAGGTGTAGAAAGGGCCTTGGAAGTGACATAGGTAGCTCTAGGAATTGCCGAAAACTCTATGGCAGAGGACACCAATATTGTTTCTAATCCCCCCCCCCCGCTCTGAGTGGTGGCAGGGAACAGGAGCTGAGGGCAGGGGATCCGCCCCCACTGGGGGAATGGCAAGCCTAGGTGCAGCCATGGTATTAATGTACTCCTCTCTGCTCTTTTTGGTCCCTCCCCAGGCAGCTCCTTCTCCTCTGGTCCTTCTGCAGGAAAAAGGCCCCCCTCCTGAGCCTCAGACCAACGAGTGGCCAGGGATGTTCAGCTTGATGGGAGGTGGACTGCTGTGCGCAGTCTGCGGCCTAATCCTCCTCATAGTTGCCACGGCGACAGATTTCTGGATGCAGTACCGCTACTCAGGCAACCTCAGCAACCAAGGCCTCTGGCGGTTCTGTGTGGGAAGCAAATGCCACCCGCACACCATCACCCTCGGTAAGGGGCACCTCCGCATTTGGACCCAAGAACACCACGGACGTGACGGTTAAATTCCTCAGCAGATCTCAGTATGGCAGAACCAGCAACAGACATCATGTAGAATGGTGGGATTTAGTGACCAGGGAGGCCATTGGTTCTAATCCCTGTTTCAGCTACCATCGGTGGTCTGAAGCTGATCTCCTCTGTCTGCAATATGGGGGGGATGATGATAATTGTAGCTTACCGTTATGGACTGCCACGAAGGAGTACAGTGATAACATAGGTAAAGTGCGCTGAAAACAATAGAGTCTTGGCTAGTAAACTGGAGATGCTTGGCTCCATCCAGGCCCAGCTTAACCTCATACCCTACTAGATTTTAAAGATAAAACGAAGGATTCTGTTTGTGGACTTCAAGCTCTCTGTCACATTTCTGTGCTGCCCTTCCTCAAGTTGGAATACATGGCTCTCCTGAATAGTAGTTGCGGCTCCTGAGCTTCAGGGGGTGAGGCCTGACACATTAGGGGTGGGGCCCGATACAAAGGGTAGGGTCCTTGTGGAACCTGGTGGGGCAAAGATGGCACCCAATTGATTAGGGGAGGAGACTGGCTGTGCCCGGTGCCTCAGGGAAGGCGCTGTAATGGACAGGGCTAGCCAAAGCCTTTGAAACTCTCTCAGCCCTTACCTGCCTCACAGGCAGTGTTCCCTCTCAGCTGAGTTCAGTGTGAGCTAGCTCACAGTTTTTTAGCCTCCGGCTCACACATTTTTGTCTTAGCTCAGGGAGGATGGCTCCAGAGCAAACCAATTGATGCAGTAGCAAAATCATTCACTCACAACTTTCATGCCAGCAGCTCACGAAGTAGAATTTTTGCTCACAAGACTCCACAGCTTAGAGGGAGCATTGCTCACAGGGAGTCTGTTGTGGGGAGGGGATTGGTCTGGAGGGGGCAGTTCCTCCTCCCCAGCTACCCTCCCAGGAAGGAGGGAAGGGGGCTGCCATGGTTGGTTCTCTGCCAACTGAGCTCTGTCTGTCCCTCTCTGCAGCTCCTTTGTGGAGGACCTGTTACTTTAAATGCACCTCTGCCGAGTGAGCTAGACAGAGCGTGTCCTCTTGGCACCTTTGTGCAAAAGCACAGCTGCCCACCTGGCTCAGCTGTCCGCTTCTCCTCCTCCTCCTCCTCCTCCTCTATACCAAGCACCAAAATAGCCTGCCACATTCAGTCTGGCCCTTCATCATGAGGGGTTTTCCCTCCTTCTCCTGGACATTTTGAGGAGGGGCTAAAAGCCTAAAATTCAGGTCAGGTCCTGAGACTTGCTAACTCTACCAAGAGCCATCCTTCCCAGTACCCTGTCTACTCCGGTTCTACACAGTGCCTCTCAACGGTGCCTTGTTTCCCTTCATAGCCTTCTGGGATGCCACTCGGGCATTCATGCTCCTCTCCATCCTTTCCTCCTTTGCTGGGATCATCTTGGGGCTGACCGCCTACTCCAGCAACGTCCGATCCACTCGTAACCGTGCAGCAGGACTCATTGAGAGTGGCGGGTTGGGGGGAGAGATCAGGGAGGGGGGAGGGGAGATCCAGGACTCTCCTTGTCTTGAAATAGACTCTGTTTTGACTGTGTCATATCTGCATAGGCATTACTTGATTTTTCTCTATGGATCATCAGAGGAAGGAGTTAACTTTTACCTTTATCTGCTGAATGGGCCAATGGCCCTTCCCCAGAAGTAAACAAATTGTGTATTCTGTTCTGGCCACTGATTGTACAAAAAAGTATTGTATCTGAGGTGACAGAAAAGTTCTGTTCAGGCTGTTAGGCCTGGGATAATCCATTCACCCATGGAAGTCTTCAACAGATGTTGCCATCACCATAGAGGAGAACATGAATCTGTGACCCACATGCCTCCTTGGGGGAATCTACAGTGCTACTACAGGGGCTCCCATTAACCCATCCAGAGTGGGAATTGCCAGCCATAAACCTCAGTTTCCTACCCCTGAGGAGCTGAGGAATGAGAGAAAAAAATGGCTTCCACATAGTGATACTGTAGGAATTTCTCCTTGTCTCTATGGTAAAGACCATAGAGACTAAAGGAGGAAGCCTACAGCATAGCCTGGAAGTGACATCACATCCTTCTCAAACTCCGCCCTCCTCAGGCACTTCCCCCCCCCATCTCCCAGCACTTGCTGATGCAGTACTGGAAACCCTACTCTGGAGCCCATTAAAGCAACCAAGGCTTCATTTCACCCTTGGCTCATAGGAGTTCTAGTTGACTGCTTCACCCCAGACGATATAAAACATTCATAACAAGGGAATGATTGGGCTGGGTCTGGGAAATGAATTCCAGAATAAGCTGGCTCTTTCATCTATCCACCATATTGAAAGCAGCCATACAGTCCCTTACTCTGTCCTTCCCATTCCACTTCAGGTCTCTTTGCCCTGTTGGGTGTATCAGTCTATACAGGAGTGACGGTGAATTTCTACGGAAAACGCTATCCTGACTGGCGTTTCTCCTGGTCCTACATTCTGGGTTGGATCGCGGTCATCCTTACCATCTCAGCAGGTACTGTTACCACTCAGCACTTGTTATTGGGCGATTCTGCATCTGGCATTTGCTCCCCCTTTTCTCAGCACTGAGGAAAAGGTGCAGCTCAAAACCACATTCAAATACCCTGGGGCAATGCTGTACTGATTGCAAAGTCACCCCTGAATGGGCACAGAGCTATGCAGAAGGTACCATAAAACCCGATGATCAAAGAAAGTGAAAGCGGCATGCAGTGTAGAGGGTACCATAAAATCCGATTATCAAAGAAAGTGAAAGCAGCATGCAGTGCAGAGGGGAATTTCTGTTCCAAGGTGGGTTTGGTAAAACAACGGAGGGAAAAGCCAATGCAGAGTTGCTCAGTATCTCAGGTACCACAGCTGAGTTGCTCCTTTCCAGTTTCAGAATGCCACAGACAGGGCACAGCGAACCATATGGCCTCCTGGCCAACTTACCTCCTGGGTTCAGGAAGTCCAGCATCTTAAGAGCGAGAACACCTGAATCTTCAGCTAAGGGCCTTTGGTTACTCCCCCCCCCATACTTTCCTCACCATAACTTATGGTCTGTCCACTGCTCCATGTATCCTGCCAACCCCCTTTCCAGTTTCCTCCCATCTCACGCTCACAAGCTCTCCCCTTCTCTTTCCAGGTGTGTTCCACATTTGCGCTGTCCCCAGGAATTCCTCTCCTAATGGCTCCAACGTGGCAAGTGGTTGATCCACTCCTACTTCATCACTGGGTCAACCCCTGTCTGGTTCAGATGTCTGACGTTCCCTCCCAGTCCTCTTGGTCTTCTGCAAACGCTCTGTCTCTTTCCTCAGACTGTTCTCCTTCCTCTCCACCCTCCACCTGTTTTCCACCTTCTCATTCAGGATTCATTCAACAACAACAGATCAAATAATGTTGCCTACAAGACTTTAGGGATGCCTATGAATCCGCCTCTCCCTTTCTTGTGATCTTGCGTCAAACCAAGTGACTGTCATAGAGTTAATCCACATAATAATTTTGTTTTTTGATGAGAAGTCAGGGCCTTGGGTATCTCCAGCAAAAGACTTCCTTCCCATATTTCACAGGGACCCACTTGTACTACTTGTAATTAGGGACCCAAATGGTAATACCTTTTGTACACAAATCCACTAGAGGGCAATAGCAACTAAGATGAGGGATTCAGTGATGTGCAATCATGCATCTACAGGTCAATGCTCCCATTCATGCTCAGCAGGACAAAAAGGCAGTGAAGGCACTTTCCCTCTTGAAATTTATTCACCTTTGTATTTCTAGCTTTGGCTACTTCATGTTGTCATGAAATGTCCTTTCTTATTGATCTAGTCTCCCCCTCCAATGAAGTATAGCACCCTCACACTCCCTTTCATTATAAGACTTCTCAGATTATATGTTCCTCTTGGAGAAGAGATAGTTGAGGTGCCTTTATCCAGAAGGTTCCTTAAAGTGGAGTTCAATAAATAGCAAACCCTCAGACAAAGTTTTCCTCCGTGTCCCCTCCCCCCTCATATTCAGAAGAACGCACACAAGATGCTTCATGGAAACAGGTAGGCTGCTGCTGTTATCCTTCTGCTTAGCTCCCTGGGTGTTCAGGATCCCCAGAAATGTGTTTCCTTACGTCTCTCATCACCCCCCGGTGTTTTACAGTTGAAGAAATGCAACACTGTCTTGGTCGCTCAATCAGGGCCAAAGATACAGAATTGACAATCCAAATGATTCCCACATCTGGCATTCAGAAATGATTGCTCGTGTTCTGGTCAAAGAGCATGAGATGAGTCCTGCTGGCGTATACCACGGGAATATATCTGGCAGACTTCAAGCAAAGATAGCCAAACATCCTCCAACATGGGACCGTCTCAAATCCGAGTGGCCTGAGGGCCCTATAAACTGAATAGTTCCAAAAGAATTCCAATGAAAAGTCACTCAAGATTGGCAGACATTTATTTACAAACCAGGGCACTGTAGTGGGCCAGCATAATTATGGAGGGGTTTTTTGTTTAAAAACTGATGTTTGTGAAGAGAGGGCATCGTGTGACCTCTGTCATTCATGTGGTTCTCTTATAATAAATAAATGAATTCCTCCGTTGTGTTTGTCCCACATGTGGTTACTCTCCTTGCGAACAGTCCTCGATAGGTGTTAATATGTCATTTACATAAGAACATAAGAGACGCCAAGGTTGGATCAGGCCAAAGGCCCATCCAGCCCAACACTCTGTATCACACAGTGGCCAGAAATACCAGTGCCATCAGGAGGTCCACCAGTGGGGCCAGGACATCAGAAGCCCTCCCACTGTTGACCCCCCCCCAAGCACCAAGAAGACAGAGCAACACTTACCTCAGAGCCCCTATCTATACCTTGTGGCTAATAGCCACTGATGGACCTCTGCTCCATATGCTTATCTAATTCCCTTTTGAAGCCGTCCATGCTTGTAGTCGCCACCACGCCCTGTGACAGTGAATTCCATGTGTTAATCACTCTTTGGGTGAAGAAGTCCTTCCTTTTATCCGTTCTAACCCGACCGCTCTGCAGTTTCATGGAGTGCCCACGAGTGCCCATTTAGGAAGCCTCCTTATACTGAATCCAACCTTTGGTCCATCAAGGTCAGTATTGCCTACTCAGACTGGCAGCAGCTCTCCAGGATCTCAGGTAGAGGTCTTTCATGTCATCAGATCCTTTTTAACTGGAGATGCTAGGTATTGAACCTGGGGCCTTCCGCATGCCAAGCAGATGCTCTGCCCCTGAGCCACTCCTTCTCTAAACATGCCACTGTTTGCAGAAGGGCATCGATAGGGTTGTGTGTAGGCAGGTCAGGTGTGCGTTTGATTTATACCTCTGCTCCCAAATCCAGCAAGTAATGGGTTCACACAAGCCTGTTTATCACACATGGATCTCCATATCTAGATCAGGTTGACATTGTTTTAAAAGATGCATTTCCTTGTTGAAATCTCTCTCTTGCTGACTCACATATGATAGCTGGGCTATATGACAGCTGAGCTGGATAACGAGAGGTCAGTTATGATGGACTTGACCTGCATTTCCTGTCATGTTTCAAGGTCTTTGGGCTTTCAGGAAAAATAATGCTTGTCCAGTCTGTTAGAATGGCCGATTCATGCAACACACCCACTTAATCATGGGGGAACTCTTGTGAGCCACGCATGTTTGCCAGTGAATCCGGCCATGGAGTTAGTGATTGTAAGAATCACTCTATGACGAGAAGAGTGTGGTATGTGAACAACCCTTTGGGGGGGGGGTGAAATCACTGAGCTGGGATGCAAGAACTCTTCCTTGTTGGGCCACTGATTCACCCTTTGTTCTTGAATGAGTCAATGAGGTTACCCTCTCCTGCTAGCAAGTTAGTAAGGTTCCCAGCTGATCAGTGTGGTCCGCTCCTGTGCCTTTGATGGTTTTCATGGCCTATAAGCATCCTCACCTACTGAGTTTCTGCAGATCAAGCTGCTGTTCAAGGCACAGGAGCAGATAGTGATGAAAAAGTTGGCAATCTCAGCAGCCAGTCACTTAACCTACATACTATTCTGAGTTAAGGAAGTGTTATGGTCCACTGGATGCAGCACAAGCTCAAAGCTGTGCTTTTGTGCCTGTAGCCCCTTCACACCGAAACTCTTTTTATGATCATCTTCTCCTGTGCTAAAATTGTACAATGAAAAATAATTTCAACCCCCGGAGAATGCTTTGAAAAAGGATTCCACTGGCCTTTGATACATGATGTCCCTGTGTGGGAAGGTTGATATATTTTTTTTAAAGAACAAGAGTGGTATGCTATGCAAATATATCTAGAAAACATATAGCTGCGAATTTGGTATGAATAGATCTATCTGAAAGCCTAGGATGGCCCGTGAATGCTTATTTCTCTACAAGCCTTTTAAGTTAGCACAAGGTTCCTTTTTCTTTTTTCCTTAACATGGATGACTTTGGAAAGCCAGAGATATTATCACCCCTGGGGCTTCCAACTCTTAAACTTGGCTTTCTAGCTGACCTTTGAGTTTAACCTTCAAGCACTTATCAGGTGATATTATTTGTCATCATGCCATGGAATTTTGAACTATCCATTTCCACTCATTAAAACTCTATTAAAGTGCATGACATTTCTCCCCGTCCCACTGGCAACCTTACAGGCAAAGTAATGCAGGTGTCTTCAAGGGCCTTCCAGAACAGGTATGTTTTTAATTGGCACTGGAAGACCTACCACGATGAGGGCAATTGCACTCCCTGAGGCAGGCTGTTCCAAAGTTTAGGAGCAGTAGACAAGAAAACCTTCCCACAATGCCTCCCTCCACTGCACTTCTGGCCAGGTTTCTGTCAATTGCCTCAGAACCCAAGCAGATAGGTAAAATGAGGAGTAAGTTTTTATACCCTGCTTTTCTCTACCCGACTTGAGTCTCAAATCGCCTTCCTTTCAACTCCTCACAACAGGCACCTTGTGAGGTAAATGGGGCTGAGAGAGTTGTGAGGGAACTGTGACTGGGCCAAAGTCACTCAGCTGGCTTCATGGGGAGAAGTGGGGAATCAAACCCGGCTCTCTAGATTAGAGTCTGCCATTCTGAACCACTACATCATGCTGGCTCTCAAAAAGTAAAGAAGGTCCTTCAGGTATAACGTATGGCAATGTAAATTGCAGTCCATATTATCAGTAGGCAGCAGCAGCAATACACATGATAATTTCCCAAGGCATAAACACATAAGATTTACAGCACCATTAAAACAAGCCAGATTCATCTAATTGTAATTACTTCACCAACAAGTTAACCAGAGGCCTCAGAAGGCAGAATAATTTTCACCTGGAAAGTGATACTCAGGTAGGCACTACATGAGTTTCAGTGAGGAGAGAATTCTGTAGATGAAGGGGTCACTGCCTGGAAGACGCTGTCTCTTGTTGGTACCTACCCCATTTCTGAAGCTGGGGAGGAACAGGGAACAGGGTCTCCACTGAAGATCCTAACGGCCAGGCTTGCACCCAGGTAACCATTTTAAAGTCCTCTGGAGAGAGACAGTCACCCTGACAACCTGGAGAATATTCAGCCGACCACAGAAAGAGGATATATTTGTGGGGTGGGAAAACACCCCATGTATCAAAAACTTTAGGAATGATTAATTTTAGATGTTCTAAAATGTTTTCTTTTGTAATTCATGGAAGTTTATATTAGTTTTCTAATATCAATGGCTCAAAAACAAAGATTTATGCCAACACAAACAATAACAGCTTTGAGGGATTTTTCTATTGGCAAGAAATATTGGAATTTGGCTTGGGGTAGAAATTATACCCCAAATGCAGTATGCAATAAGCTTCTTTACAATGTTGCTATAGGGTTAAATAGGGTTGCTAACTTTGGCTTGGGAAATTCCTGGATATTTGGGGGTGGAACCTGAGGAGGGCAAGGAAGGACCTCAGTATAATGCTGTATAGAGTCTATCCTCCAAAGTAGTCATTTTCTCCAGGGGAACTGATCTTTGTAGTCTGGAGATGAATTGTAATTTAAGGATATCTCCAGGTCCCACCTGGATACTGGGAACCATAAAGCTAAGGAATAGAATTGGCAACTGTCTGAGAAAAAGAAGGCTTGGCTCTCTTCTAGTCCCCACAGAAAGCAGCAGGCCCAGCTTTTGATGGTATGCAGCCAAACTGAAAGGAGTACAATCCTTATTCATTTCTTCTGTACACTTCTGGTTCCAGACAGAACCACTTCTAATTTCCACAATATAAAAGGCTTTAGCCATAGAGACCTAGAGTGATACAACACAGCTTTGGAGAATCACAGTCAAAAGCAGTTATTTATTTATTTATTTATTTTTCATATTTATACCCCGCCCTCCCCCGTGGGCTCAGAGGCAATGTTATCAGTAGGTTGTGTGTGACTCTAATAATACCTCATTGACATGTTTATGTTCATGATTCACAGTAGTCATTAACAATTGCCCTGGTGAGGTAGGACACTGTTACTATTCATGTAGGGGATTGATCTGAGAAAGCACGGCTTACTGTGCCTAAGGTCACCTCATGAGTTCATGGCTGAGGTGAAATTTGAACAAAACAGCCTCCCTGATCACAGCTCATGGGCTTAGCCACTTTGCCATGCCAGTGATTCCTTTTCTGTCTCTATGACAAACCATGGTATTAATTCCACAGGAGTTGCCCTGTTATGGCTGATTCATACATTATAAACTCTTCGTGTCCCCGATGAATCCTCCCCAGTCCCTTCAGTCAGAAGTACCCTGGCAGTTCTTTGTTCTGGACTTAATTCCCAGGTTTAGGGAGGCTTAATTTGGATTGAGACTTCTGATTTCGGGGGGGGGGGGTATTAACTTAACCTAGGGTTGCCATCAATTTAAATCCCAGGAGATCTCCAACCACCACTTGGAGATTGGCAACCCTAATTTAAGCCTCCCACATTGTACTGTCAGGGGTGTGGCCTAATATGCTAACAATTTTCTGCTGTTGGGTGTGGCCTATTATGCTAATGAGTTCCTGCTGGGCTTTTTTTTTTTTTTTTAAACAAAACCCCCCCTGCTTTCGAGCAAGGGAAACCTTTACCTTTACCTATATAGCATTACTAGCAGGAAAGCTAATTGTAAAACCAACACAACGAGCTCTAGAAAGACGGAGTAGCAGCCTCCCCCCTCAGGTGCAGCTCCTCCCTGTGGGCTTCCAGGGTTTGCTCGTAAAGAACGGTGGTACCTGCAACCTTGGTACTGGTTTCCCCCTCCCTCCCCACACCATACAACAGCCATACGCAAACTGATTCCCCCCCCCTTGGCTGTGTTCCAGGCCTCAGCAGTGGTCTCGTCATTGTCCCACAGCTCGGCCAGGAGGACACTGTCATCCTTCTTGGCCTTAGCCAGGCACTGCCGCTCCCAGTTGCTGAAGCAGTGCTTGGGCCCGTGCAGCTGCTGGATCTCGGCCTCGCCCTCCTCCTTGACTGCCCTCCTCCATGGCGCCGGCCCCCGTCCACTTACAGGCTAGCCAGCTATGTGCATCCGGGCGCAGCCGACGATGACCACTGCGGCACTGCCATGATGGGCCTTGGCCTCATCATCCTCCACCCGCTGGAGCATCTGGCCCATCCATCGCCTCCCACAAGACTGACCCAAGATGCTGTGTGCTGCTTCTGTGGGTGGGACTCAGGGAACGCAGCCACCAGTGGATAGGGAGTCCTTCTGATTGACAGATCAGGGAGCCCACTGATTTGGGAGCTCATGGAATGTTCAGCAAAGTGCCACCCAAAAACACAATTATATATAAGGATAGATACCTTGCTGAGGTCCCCCCCCCCCCAGGCTCCACCTCCCAAATCTCCAAGTATTTCCGAACCCAGAGCTGGCAACTCTAGTAAAGCAACATCAGCGCTTTCACTCATTTTCTCCTGCCAGCCACTGAGGGGATGGCATCACTTTAGGCATGAACCCAAAAGTGACCTCAGTGCGACATTCTAGGATTTCAAATAAATATGGTAAAACAGTAAAACCATAGAGTTTGCGTGGAATCCTAGAGTGTCATTCTAATGTAACTTCTGAGTTTGCCCCAGAAGTGACATTGCAGCATTGTCGTGACACAAATTTCATATGTTGCTACCCTCCTACAACTCCCACCAGTTCCCAGTGCTTGGCTGGCAACCCTGCCCTGTGCTACAAATCTGAATTGGGCCCATACACCCCCAGAAATTAAGTTCCATGCATAGCACTATCGGCACCCATTTGATCAAAAGGAACTGGGGTGGATAAGTGAGCAATTTTGGTGGACATGTGGGCCTTTATAATGATGAACTGTCCTTAAACTTGGGGGGGGGGTGAATTTTGCGACACCTGGAAGACTACCAAGCTTATGCCAGAATCAATTTTATGCTAGAGTAAAAGCTCGTCAAGTATTTAAAGAGCCACAGGACTCATGTTTATTTTTACGACAAAAGAGTCTCACCTGCCAGTGGTTACAGATTATATTGCTAGTTAAAGGGACAACAATCACAGCCGGTTCACAGGATGGCATACCCTAGAAAGAAAGTTAAATCCTATCTACTCCCCCCCCCCAATTCACCATAATGGATAAGCAGTGACACAGTGGCTTTTGCATGTCTAGTTTAAGGGTGATAGAGATATGCACAATTAACGTTACACATTCCACTGTGACACCCCAGTGAAAAGTCCTGGGCTGGAATCCAGCAGTGTGTGAACGCTGGTTACCTTTCGTTGCCAGTAGAGGCCGCCCCAAACACCTAGGATCCCACGGTCAGAATACCTTCCCACGGTGGTTAGGAATGCAGAGGAGTCACCCTAAAGTTTATAAAGGCTTGCAGACATAATGCATTGCTTCCTGGCACGCTAGCACCCCACCAAGGGTGGTGGGGCTTGAACCCAGAATTCTACATTGCAGGGGGGGTGGGAATTAAGATCCTTGATCTTGTGGGGTGTCTCCCCCCCCCCCCATAAGGCAAAGGCAGGGACACCACTGGCAAGGGAATGTTGGTATGCAAGAGGAGACTGTTGAAGAAGTATTCCCCTGCTCACTTGTTCTTTTCTCCAAATTTCTCTCCGCCACCCACCGTCAGAACTGGAAATAAGTCAGGCTGAAGGCAAAACGGCAAAGGAGGGGTACGGGAAGGAGAGCTGCGCGAAGGGCTGAGAGCATGCCTCCTGCCGAAGTGCTGCCTCTCTCTTCTTACCTCTGTAGTTCCATGGCTTTGGGCAAGAGCGTGGATTTATAGAGGTAACGTTTAGCAGCACCCTGGAGCTTAGAACACTAGTCAGGGTGGTTTGGATGTGTGAAGCTATACCAAGTCAGGTCCATTGGTCCATTTAGCTTAGTGTTCTCTATTCTGGCTAGTAGAAGAAGAAGAAGAGAAGAGATTGGATTTATATCCCGCCCTTCACTACCCAAAGGTGTCTCAGAGCGGCTTACAAACTCCTTTCCCTTCCCCTCCCCACAACAGACACCCTGTGAGCAGTCTTCCCTCTAAGCTGTGGAGTCTTGTGAGCAAAAATTCTACTTGGTGAGCTGCTGGCATTAAAGTTGTGAGCCAGCGATTGGGCTGCTGCAGAAATTAGTTTGCTCTGGAGCTATCCTTCCTGAGCTAAGACAGAAATGTATGAGCCGGAGGCTAAAAAACTGTGAGCTAGCTCAGACTAACTCAGCTTAGAGGGAACACTGCCTGTGAGGTAGGTGGGGCTGAGAGAACTCTTGACAGAAACTGCTCTTTTCCAAGAACAGCTGTGCCAGAATGGCTTGCCCAAGGTCATCCGGCCAGGTGCAAGTAGAGGAGTGGGGAATCAAACCCGATTCTCCCAGATTAGAGTCTGCGCACTTAACCACTACACCAAACCGGTGTAAGGGGCTAGCCTGATCTTGTCACATCTTGGAAGCTAATCAGGGTCAGACTTGGTTAGTACTTGGATGGGAGACCACCAAGGAATCCCAGGGTCACTATGCAGAGGCAGGCAATGGCAAACCTCATCTGGATGTCTCTTGCCTTGAAAACCCTACAGGGTCACCTTAAATCGGCTGCAACTCGATGGCACTTTCTACCACCAAGGGCTACCCAGGGCCTGAGGCAAAGAAAGGTCTTCCCCATCACATGAGATTTTTTAAGTGTCAATGCCAGGGACTGAACCTGTGGCCTTCTGCTTTCAAAGTGAGTGTGTGGTTCTTCTTTTGAGGCATGGCCGTTCCAGTCAGCATTCCCTCCAGGCACACTGCGTTTATTATTCTGGATTAGGAATACCTGTGGCTGTTTCCGCAGAGGAATCTCCCCCTGCCCATGGATTACAGGAAGGCCCTGATATAAATGGAAGCATCCCCTTGACATTGTGCTCATTCTGAGCCTTCCCAAGGTGTTCCCTTTTAAACCAGAGCCAAGAAGACCCTCCTTTGATTGGGTTCAAAGGGTGAGCTGTAGAGTGGCTGTGGATAGGGCATCCGTGTGGATGTTCCACATGTAGCCGCTACACGGAGGTGGGCAGAGCGCCTTCAAAATGGCACCACTATGATCCACATCCCCCATTCTTTGGGCTTTCTTCTTTTCCCAGCTGAGCTGCACTGTGAAGTTGGATGGGGGAGAGAAAGGGGACCTTCCTGGGCTGGGGAGGGGGAACACAATCTCTGTTGTCTCTTCTTTTGTGCAGATGTGGCAGAGGAAAATGGGGCCTGGATGAAGGAGCACCGGTGAACAGTCCAGGGGTGGAGTGTGTGGGTGCCGTTTCCGGCTGCTCCCATGCTGACTGCAGCTGCTGTAGTGGCAGAGGCAGATTTCTACATCTCTGTGCAGAAGTGTCATAAGATCTGTGCTTGTTACAGTCATGAAATAATGGCTTCCACAGTGTATCCACAGTGGCATCTCCCAATAAAGACTTCACGGGTAACCATGGGAAAGTGATTTACAAGCCCTGATTTTGTAGGATAACAGTGAATTTGACTGCTTAAGGCAGGGATACACAACGTGGTGTCTGTGGGTACCGTAGTGCCTATTGGTACCTTTCCTGGTGCTCGCCAAGTGTTTTTAGAAAGTTGGCAGTGCCAAGTGGGGCTTTTGCCCAGCCAGGGTTCTGATTACCATTGGAGAGCTGATCAGCTCTGCAAACTTTTTAAGATGTTGAGTCAGCTTAATTGCTTCCCAGACATACCTCAGCTCACCTTCATACAAATGCAAATAGAGCTAGCAGGAGAGATAATAAGTGGGTCATGATCTCCCCCTTCCTCCCAGCAGGGAACAGAGTTTTGGAGAAATGAAATGCTAGAGGGACCCCAGAAAGGAAATGTCCTGGGGATCTCCAGGAAGAGCCTCTTTGACTTGCCATGACCTGGTCAGGGGGTGGGGGAAAGGGAGGTGATAAAACTCCTTGCAATACAAAGGATATCTTTTTTTCCTTGGGTGCTGAGGCCATGAGTACACACAGACTTCTCCACTGAGGAATCAGCCATTAACTGTGTGGTTGGCTTAAAGAGCTGAAGGAAACTTCAAGGTAAAGGAAAGTATGTAAAGATCTGTAACTTCTTAAAGCTATGGAGCCAGTCCTATGTTTTAACATCTGATAGGGCATGGATAGAGAGAGGGACAGAGGATTTGCATTTTACCTATTTCTTTTGGAATCCCTTGCTCAGTCTGGTGCTGTGCCACAAGTATGCTTATGTATTTTTTTTTTTAATAAATACTTTATAACTTTCAATGCTGGTAGTGGGTCTCTGTACCACATAGAACTCCACTGTCTTGGACATGATATTTTATAAGGGACTCCAGGGGGAAGGCAGGCAGTTGGCAAGTGGCTATTCCTCCAGGGGCGTGCAAGACAGTAAACTGTCCCCATGGTGCCCAGGCGCTGGGCAGTGGGAGACACAGAGGCAAGGGCTCAGAACTTGGAAGGAAAGCTGGGAGTTCTGAGCCCCCTAGCAGGCAATCCCTTACAAAGATCAGGTGGGGGTGGCGAGTTACCTGAGAGTGGAAGCCTCGCCAGGTGTTGATAAAAACCTTGGAAGGCAGGGTGGAATAGGGCCTGCAGGCCGGAGCAGGCATGTTCCGCCACAGGGACCCCTGGCTTAAGGATTCTCAAACTATGGAGTAAGTTCCATGGGGTGAGTGCAAGACACCTCCATTGCTTAAGTTCTTCTAAGGAGGGTGAAGATGCAACAGAACTGTGATGGCTTCCTCCCAGCATCGAAGGTTTAACCACACTGCCATACTAACCATGGAAGCTGCAGAGAAGCAGGAAAAATCTTGGTTTCTTCTGACCACAGCATCTTTTCCTTCTGCTTCTGCCTTCTCTAGCTAGTTGGTTTTAGGAGGAAGCTGCAGTGCCCAAGAAGCCCACAGTGCTGGAGCTCCTGAACTTCCCTGAGCAGTAGCTGTCTGCTTCTCTCTCTCTCTCTCTCTCTCCTTCTTTCAGAATCTTAAGAAGAACTGGATACCCCGCCCTTCACTCAGAGTCTAAGAGCAGCTTACAATCTCCTTCCCTTCCTGTCTCCACAATAGACACCCAGCGAGGTAGGTGGGGCTGAGAGAGCTCTTTCAAGAACTGCCCCTGAGAGAACAGCTCTGAGAGAACTGTGACTGGCCCAAGATCACCCAGCTGGCTGCATGTGGAGGAGGGGGGAATCAAACCCGGTTCTCCAGATTTGAGTCTGCTGCTTTTAACCACTATACCAAACTGGACCTACCTTTTGGCAGGGTCATCTCCTTCAAGGTTAGACTTGGATGACAAAGCCCTTTCCTAACAAGGCCCACTGAGAAGATATCTACAGTAGTTAAGAAACTTCACCATTCCCTTTGTCAATAGTCTTCGATAAGTGGAGGCGGGCATTCTCCAGCTTTCACTGCCACTCTTCCTTTCTCCCACCCCCGGCAGTGAGAGGAAAACATGGAGTGATAAACAGTGTCACATGCATCAAGATGTCACATCTAGGGGAAACCCAGAAGTGAGGTCACGGCCACCCCCATGACATTCTAGGAATTCTCAAAATCAATATGGTCTTCGCCAGTGTTCCCTCTAAGCTGAGTTCAGTGTGAGCTAGCTCACAGTTTTTTAGCCTCCGGCTCACACATTTTTGTCTTAGCTCAGGAAGGGATGGCTCCAGAGCAAAATGATTTAGGCAGTAGCCAAATCGCTCGCTCACAACTTTAATGCCAAAAGCTCACAAAGTAGAATTTTTGCTCACAGGACTCCACAGCTTAGAGGGAACATTGGTCTTCGCCATAAAGATTTGGAGGATTCATACAGTGTTGCAGGATGGCTGTTGCGAGGCAGCTGTGATGTGAACAAGAGTTTTGAGGCAAGTGTTAAAAGCGTAGCCCCCATGCAATGCCTGCACTTCCGGGTCACACCAGAAGTGATGTCATTGCACTTCACTGACAACCACGCCCCCTGTGGTAAGTATCTGCCTCCCCCAATCTCCTGCCATGCCGGGCTACTGTTACAGGACATCGTTTTTGGCTTCCCCCTGCCCCAAAGTGACGTCACAGTACACAGAACACCTACAGCTTTTAAAATGTATTTCTTTTCTCCTGCTGCAGTTTGGAGTGGTGGGAGGCCTCCTGGAAGCTCTATTTGATGCTGACAAAATGGCTGGAGCAGGGGTCGTTTCGTAGAAAAAGAGCAAGGGGAACTCATTAGCATAACTCATTAGCATATGCCACACCCCTGACATCACTGGAAGTGTGTCATAAGGCCACACCCCCTGACATCACCGGAAGTGTGTCATAAGGCCACACACTCCGCCGCCAATGGTCCTGGCCGCCGCCGCCGGCCTTGCAGCTCCACTGCCGAGCCCCATGAGTGGCCCAGCGGTGGACCTGCAAGGCCGGCGGGAGTGCAAGGAAGCCCCGCGAAGGCCCTCCCTGGCCCCAGGCAGGCAGGGGTGGGGAGAGGCAGGGAGGAAGCAACTTACCCTCCCTCTTCTCCTGCCTCCTCCTGGCTGAATGAGGGCCGGAAGCGGGGCGGCCGGAAGCAGGGGGCGGGGCTTTGTCATGTGCCCCGCCCCCGTACCTCACCCGGGGGAACTGCGATCCCCCGCGATCCCCCCCGAAATGACCTCTGGGCTGGAGGGAAGGCTGAAGCCCCTTCTCTATGTGCACAGTGATCCTGGTCCTAGTTGGGCACTTACACATGCAGGAAAACCTACAACTCGTGTGTGGTTGTGTTACATCTGGCAACCGGTGGAGGATGGGGAGGGACTTACCTGGAGTAAGAGAAAGGCCCAGGCCTCATGGCTGGCGTCACACTGGAAGTAACATCATCATACCAGTGACATCCAGGTGACACTCTGGTATTTGGGCAAAAACGGTATGGTAAAACTGGCTTTCACCATAGTGTTTTTGTCCAAATACCAGAGTGTCACCTGGTCTTTACTGGTGTGATGATGTCACTTCCTGTGCAATACCGGCCACGAGACTTGGGCCTGTCTCTTTCTCCAGGTAAGCCCTCCTGTTGGCCAGCTGATTGGCGGCTGGGGGGCCGCCTTCACCAGAGACGGGTCTGGCAACCCTAGGTGGAGACCACAAATACCCAACCTGCATACTCTGTAATGTGTGAAGAGAGAATATAGAGTTGCCAGCTCTGGGTTGGGAGATACCTGGAGATTTGGGGGATGGAACCCAGGAGTACAGGGTTTGAGAAAGGGAGGGACCTCAGCAGGGTATAATGCCATAGAGTCCACCCTCCAAAGCAGCCATTTTATCCAGGGAAACTGATCTTGGTTGTCTGGAGAGCAATTGTAATAGTGGGAGATCTCCAGGTGCCACCTGGAGGTTGACAACCCTAGGTTTGAAGGAGCTCTGCCTTGAAGGAAGTTAGGCCCATCTTCTAATGTGTTTAAGACACCCCCTCCCCAACTGCCCTCGATTCCATTGAGATCAAGCTTACTAATTTAGGAACTATTAAACTCCTGTACCTTAAATACCTGCATCAACAGCAGCCTGGCATTCCAGGCATTCCAGACATTCCTCACCTATCCATGATGCCCTATTTCCTCCAAAGGAAATCCATTCTGGTGGTTGCCAACCTCCAGGTGGGTCCTGGAGATCTTCCAGAATTACAGCTGATTTTTGGACTACAGAGCTAAGTTTCCTGGGAGAAAATGGCTGCTTTGGAGGGTGGGCTCCATGGTATGATATTCTGCTGAGTTCCTTTCTCTTCCCAAACCTACAGTCCTCAGGATCACCACAGATCTCCATGAATTTCCCAACCTCGAGATGGCAACCCCAACACAGCCCCTGATGCTGATTCCCCCCCCCCAACTTCTCTAGAAACGTTTTGAATTTGTTCCCATAATCTTTGGGGGGAGGGTAGCAGCCAGTTGCTGCTGTTTCATTTAAAGCCTTCAGGAAGAGCTAAGCCCAGGGACTGCAAAGCTGGTAGTGAATGGTTTGCTATTTCTTTGCATGTGCTAAGTTTTATTCCTTAGGGTTGCCAGCTTTGGGTTGGGAAATACCTGGAGATTTGAAAGAGGAGCTTGGGGAGGGGAGAGTTTGAGAAGGGGAGGGACCTCAGCAGGGTATAATGCCATAAAGTCCACCCTCCAAAGCAGCCATTTCCTCCAGGGGAACTGATCTTGGTTGTCTAGAAATCAATTGTAATAGCAGGAGATCTTCAGCTGCCACCTGAAGGGTGGCAACCCTGTTTATCTGGGGTCTTTCAGCTAGTGTGTGTGTGTATACATATTTCCTAATCTACCAGAGATGTGAGTTTGTGGAGTTCTCATAATAGCGATGAAATAGTTCTGTTGCTAGTATTACACACACAATCAAATCCATAATTGATTCTTTTACTACAGTCAGTGTCTGGGCCACCTTCTCACTGAACCAATCCTGTTTTAAAAATACACAGGGAAATCCAACAACGTAATTAAAACAGGAAATAAAACCATGGTACAACAAAAAAAAAATTCCGCACGGCACTTACAATGGTAATGGATGCCGTGTTTTGGCTGAGGAAGAATAGCAAATTCTTAGCCACGGAATAGTTGTGGTTTGAACTCTGGAGAAATATTACACCCTTGTCACTTCAGCAGAAGTGCTCCTTTGGATCCGGAGCCACGAATCAGCCCAACATTATCAGTTTATTGCACAAAAATAAAGATCTATCATGCAGAAAGGCCCTTGGGTGGAGTCAGCTGTGTTTTGATGAACTTCATTAAGGGCTGAGCACCAGATGTCCAGTCCTAAAGAGTCTCAGGGATGCCACTGTTCCCTTTGGCCATGCCCCTGTTTCTTTTGGGGGGGGACTCCAAAATCTGGCCCTTCAGGACTGGCCTGCGAGATCTCATTCAGCCGGGCTGCCGATGTGAACACTCCAGCACCCTCCATGAACTCCTTCTATAAACAAAACCTCCCGCCCCCCACTTCGTTGAGAAACACCTGTTTAAACTTGCCAAACAGACTAATTTTTTTTAATTACCTCTCTTCATTCCCCTCCTTCTGGCGATGCGCGGAGAACAGGTTGTGGAGTTTCAAAACAGAGCGATTGCTCAGCACCACCAAGCGCAAGCCGCAACACTGACACCGAAAGAGAGAGAAGCCCCCTCCCAAGACAACGACAGGAGAAGACCCATTTCCCAGAAGTGGCAGAAAGGTCAACCATCACCAAGGAGGATGAAGGCTCCTTTCCCCTTTCTTCATCTGGCATGAAAAAAACCAAAACCCGAATGTAAACAGCTCGCTGTATTTCCTTCTCCCCGGACAGCTTGGCTGTTGGAAAGGGAAGACTCCGCCACTGGGCAGAAGTTCTTGGCCTTGACCTGGTGGGTCACTTTGGTTACAAAGTCTGCAGGACAGAGAAGCATTTTGACAGGTGCAGCAGTTGAACATCTGGATCCCCCCTCCAGCATGGTTGGGCAGCTTATCTTGTTGTTGTTGGCTGTGTCCGGTAAGTCAGTGATCCGTTCTGATCTTAATTTGTTTTCCCCTATCAGCTCCGCTTCCCGTACATCACCACACACGTACAGTTTTCAGCCCCTCTTCTTACCCAGAAGAGAGAACCTGTTTTGTAGCTACTTTTTTCCTCCAGAGACCGACTTAAGAAATAATTAGGTAATGATAGTTTTGCTAGTTTTGCCTAATCTCTGCTTTGCTTTGGTGAGATGCTTTGGGATGGGAAAAAGCTCTCCTGGAGTTTCGGTCCAGGCCCACCCACCCATCCTTTGTATACCTGGTGGGAAAGGTGGAGAGGGTGAAGATATTCTTAGGAGCCCCCCGATTTTTGATGTGTTTTTTAGGATAAAGAGTCTTTGCTAGATGCAGCTTGTTTCTGAATGGTGGATGCCTCCGAGGATATGGGCTTCAAGCCTTCAGACAAAGATGCTTGGGGTGTGTGTGTGGATGAGGCAGGAATGTTGAGGTTGAAGATCTCTTGAAGGTCTCTTGAAGATCTCTCTGATGTTTCCAAACATCTCTTGGGAAAAGAGGAACCCCACCCTCTTTCTTGCCTCTTTGTGAAGGCAAGCTTGGTGCCTTAAGTGGGTTCTCTTTCTTCTTCCCTTTGCTGGAAGGGAAGATGAAGAAGAAATGGCCATTTGGAACCGCTTGCCAACTGTTTGCCCCTCACTCCAGGGCCTGTACAGCATCCTGACCCACTGTGTTCAAAGTTTGAGCTGGCTTGCAAATTAATTGATAGGAGAAGATAAATGTTTGCCGTTTAAAAGCAGAGCCGCGGTGTCAGATGAGTTGATAGGAGAAGATAAACGTTTGCCATTTAATAGCAGAGCAGCGGGGTCAGGGGGGAAAGTTGGCAATACTGCTGGATGTGGGGTAGAGAGACAAGTGGGGTGTCATTTCGACTCAATGCAAAAATAATCCTTTACTGGAAATGGTAATGCTCAGTCCCAAGAAAGTTGTTACTTCTGTTTGGGAAGCCAGCGTTGCTCTCTGTTTCTCTCCAAAAAACATCTTAACTTTGGAGTTGGGGGCGAAGCATCCTCTGGGAAAAAAAACAGCTTGCAAGAAGCGAGAGCTTTGTTGCAACAAAGAAGACTGTCAGCTGGGAAAATGCCATTTTATGTTCTGTCTTTCACAACACCTGCATTTATTTTGCCTCCCACACACCAGCTAGTCTTGGTTCAAATGCCAAGCTTGCGTCAGGACATTGTTCGGATTGCTTAGGTTGTTCTGTGGCATCTCTCTGGTTCTCTGTACGGACTGTTTGTAGGAAGCCATGGAGGGCATTTTGTATCGGCTGTAGTGTGTGCTTTCCTCCCCTTTGTACATTATAGAAACTCGTATTTCCAACAATTGGGAGTACAGAACCGGAAGGGGAGTTACTGATGGTTACCCAACCTAAGTAAGGCATCATTTCTCCCTCTGGAGTTGTCACCAGTGGCAATGGGGGGGGGGGGGGGGGGGACGGACGACACACACACTTATTAGATGCAGGAAAAGTTCAGACGTGTTTGGTTTCTTGCACACAGAATTGCTGTTTCTAGGCATCTGTTCTGAATGCCAGGCTCTGCCCTGGGAAGAGTAAAGAACACATAAAGAGTGCCTCTGTGCATGTGCAGAGTAGGGTTGTTCTTGTACCTTTCAAAGCCTCTTGGAAAGGCAAAAGTTAGTCCGGAGAGGCTTTCCCTTGTTGGTTAGGGAAAGCTTCACCTGTTTAATTTCTGTGGGTCAGGTAACTGTCAAAACACAGGAGCAATGCCGGGGCCATGAAAAGAATAACCCACTTGCGGAACACTGTGCCCTCCTCTCTGAGTAGTCACAACTGGCTTCCCCAATCTGGGATTAGCCAAAAAGGTTTTCTCGGGTCAGTAGAGGCATTTCGAGCTTTATGGACCTACTGACCGGACTCCAAGTCTAGATCTGGCATCCCTTGCAGCAAGCCAGAGATCGACTTTGCCTTCCCTCCCTCCAGCAGCGGCAAAGTGACTCGGCAGGTTATGCATGGAGATGTAAAAACCTTGCGAGAGATGCTGACTCGGGGTTTATGCCTTTCATGATTACTTGAGGGCCCCAAACGCAGCAGTGAGTCACAGAGACCAGTTTGGGAAAGGCGGCGGGGTTGAAGGAGTCCATGGAGTCTAGGACTGCCAGTTTTCCAGGGCCTTAGAGCCTTAGACTCAGGAGATCAGAAGGGTTACCTGATAGAGATTGGGTGGGGATGGGAGAGAACTGGACCTTCGTGGTCCCTGTTGGAGGCTGGGCAGAGCACCTGTGCTGGGTGGCTCAGGGACAGAGCCTTGGGCAGCCAACTCTGGCCTGGGAAATTCCTGGAGCTTTCGGGGTGGTGCTTTGGGAGGGGGAATTTGGTGAGGGATTTCACCTAGAATCTATGGTATATCATGGAGTCTTCCCTTTGAAGCGGTTGTTTTCTCCAGGGGAACTGCTCTCTGCTTTCTGGAGATCTGTTGTAATTCCAGGAGAACTCCAGGCCTCAACTGGAGGTTGGCAACTCTAGTGGAGCCTGACGGACAGGGTGGTCAGAACGAACAGCTCCCAAGCCAAGCAGAAAATCACCTGCCTCCGGTGACTCTGGCTTCTAACCCTGAGATGTGATTGCATTTTCTGGATATCCTGGAAAGAAGGGAAGCTTTTTGGTCAGATCGAGAGACCTGGCGGCGACCCCAATGGAGACTGCAGGCAGGGCCTGGTGTAGAAGGCTATTTCTGGTGGAGAGGGCCAGTGGCCAATTTTAGGTGTGATTGTATTAGTTTGCATCAAAGCAAGGTTAGAGCAGGAAACATGTGTTACGTTTCTTGAACAAAGTGTCTTAAGACGGTGGTTCTCGAGCGATGAGCTGGGCCCCCGAAGAGGGTTCCAATTCTCTTGCAGGATGGAACAGGTTGAGCTGGGAAAGCTTTTGGGAAGCTGGATGGCGAATTTGGGTTTGCCTCTTCTCACTGTGTGAAAAGACCATGAAATACAACCAATGCTTCTTCTAAGCTGTGGAGTCTTGTGAGCAAAACTTTTACTTTGTGAGCTCCTGGCATTAAAGTTGTGAGCAAGCTATTTGGCTACTGCATAAACTAGTTTGCTCTGGAGCCATCCTTCCTGAGCTAAGACAAAAATGTGTGAGCCGGGGGCTAAAAAACTGTGAGCTAGCTCACACTAACTCAGCTTAGAGGGAACACTGAATACAACCTGTTGTTCATTAATGCTACAGATGTATAAATAGTACACATGTGTACTATTTAGAAACTTGTCCAAGTGTTAACTATTGTGAGATTCTTGCGTTATGGGCTGGGCAGTAGCCTGGAGTTGCTTTGCAAGAGGGTCCCTAAAGCTTCGCTAAGTTTAGGCGTGGGTCCCAGTTCACATACTTGAAAAACTGCTGGTTGGTTTGGAGGCCAAGATCCCCAGTTGGTGCTATGCTGGAATTATACTGGAATTGGTGGGGCAAAGCTCACCTGAGTCAATGCAGTACGTTAGGAGTGGAACTTTAGCCCAAGACAGGAATATTAACTGGTCGTGGACGGTCAGTCACCTTTCACAAAGAAAGCACAAATCATCCGGTCCTCTTAACTGAGTGAATGTGCTATCTGTGAATTTCAAGAGTCTCAGGATCAATGCACAGGTTACAAAGTTCTTGTGGTCCCCCACAGGGTCGCCAACCTCCAGGTGGGGTCTGGTGACCTCCTGGAATTAGAACTGATCTCCAGGTGAGAGGAATTGGTCCCCCTGGAGCAGACGGCTGCTTTGGAGGACGGACTCTATGGAATTATACCTTGCTGAGATCCCTCCCTTTCCCAAACCCTGCCATTCCCAGGCTCCACCTCCAAATAAGAACATAAGAACATAAGAGATGCCAAATGTTGGATCAGGCCAAAGGCCCATCCAGCCCAACACTCTGTATCCCACAGTGGCCAGAAATACCAGTGCCATCAGGAGGTCCACCAGTGGGGCCAGGACATTAGAAGCCATCCCACTGTTGACCCCCCCCCCCAAGCACCAAGAAGACAGAGCATCTGGGTTGGGAAATACCTGAGGATTTTTGGGGGGGGGGTTGAACCTGAGCAAGGTGTGGTTTGGGGAGGGGAGGGACTTCAATGGCGTATAATTCCATGGAGTCCACCTTCCAAAGCGGCCATTTTCTCCAGGTGAACTGATCTCTGTCATCTGGAGATCAGTTATAACCCCAGGAGCTCTCCAACCTCCAGGAGTTCTGTGCTCGAAACTTAATTCCCAGATGCGTGCGGGCCCAATTCAGACTAGGACGGCAGCATGTGGGGAGAGGGAATGGAACTCCAGCCTCTACCCTGGTACTGTTTTGACAACCTTAGACATTTGCCGCACTGGAGGAATTTATATGTACAGATGGCTACTTGTAAATGTCCCCAGTGGGTCAAACAGTGGCCCCCCTGGCCCTTTTCACGTCAGGAAAACAATATCAGTAGGGGGGTATGCTTAAATTCCTTCCACCAGTGTGCTGCAGTTCAGATCTGAAATGGGCCCATGTCCACCTTGGAATAAAGTTCTGAGCCCCAGACACCCTCTGACTGCCAGACATGTGGGGGACAAGGGGACTTTTGTAATGTAACTGGCCTTAAGATGCTGCAGGTTTGTCTAGGGTTGCCAACCTCCAGGTAGCACCTGGAGACCGCCTGCTATTACGATTGATCTCCAGACAACCAAGATCAGTTCCCCTGGAGAAAATGGCTGCTTTAGAAGGTGGACTCTATGGCATCTTATCCCTGCTGAAGTTCCTACCCAGGCTCCACTCCCAAAATCTCCAGATATTTCCTGTCCCAGAGCTGGCAACTCTAGGTTTGTCCCATGTTACACTGACTGCTAAAAAAAGGATGACAATGGCTGCTTGAAGCTTCCATGTGTCTAGAGGGTGCTCCGGAAACTGTGATGTGGGTCTTGAAAGGTTTTTGTCCACTTAATCAGTGCTGAGCCTCTCCTGTGCTGTTTATGTGAATATTTTGAGCATTG